AAATCAAACTAGCATGTTTCTTTTTTTCAGCATTTTGTTATTTTCCATTATGTGAACAGTGTTTTTTCAAGAGTACTATCATAGGTAGAAGTTCATAAAGGGTGTAGACCTTGAGCAGTTAAGTTAGAGGATAATTCCTTTAAAATGAACCTTACTGTAAATCTAAAGTAATGGTTCAAGGCACCAGGTGAAATTGCATTGCATAATGCCAATTTTTAAGGACACACTGCCTCAGAGGACACTAATGAAGCTGTGGCACATCCCTTACTTCAAGTCTTCCCTTGCTGTACTGCACTCCTTTGGGCATTTGTAAAGCTGATAGTTTAGTACTCACTCTTCAACTGAAGTCGTAACTAGCTCTTCTCATTATGCAGCTCTCTACAGTAGGGCAGTTAACTAGGTGATGATGGCAAAGTAGGACATGTGCACTTGTAGCCAAAGAATTTGTCAAACTTCATTCCAAAAGGAAGTTGGCAGAACATTACATGTTAAACCTATTTTTTTTTTAAACATATGCAAAGCTATAATGGAGTGGGAAGAAAGCCTACAGATTTAATACTTTAGATAAAATATTTCTTAAATCTCTATTCCCCTGACAGGTAGTAATTACCCATGTAAACACCCTAATAGTCCAAAGAATTTAGAAGAGGAGGAAACCTTACTAAATCTGATTTTTAAGAAGCACTAGCTAGATAAAATACAGCCAGATAAACAATGCTATCTTACAAAAAAATGACAACTCCTAGGCCTCTAACATGGACAATTTTCCTTCCTCTTTCCAACATGTATTTGCATACATGTCTATGCATGCATCACCAGCATTAATGAGTAAGAAAACTGTCTGCCAGCTCCTGGACGTAGAGCCACTGCCAATTCAGGCCCTCTCACACAGGAGAGCTGGGCACAGGACAGTGGGAAGCTCCTCAATGCCAGTTCACCTAGCTTATTCCTAGGAGGAACAGGCACTGCATTACTGCCATCTGCAGTGTCCCCTTGGCAGCTACCATCCACAAAAGACCATGTCCATCATTCAAGCAGTCTAGCATCCACAGAGAAAAGCCAAAGAGATTTTCCTGTGTCCTCCTGCTACCCCTAATAATCTAGGTAAAAAGCTGCCTTCTATTCAGCATCTTTAACAGCTCTATGGCAGTTCAAGGATAGGCCATTTTTTTGCCTACTTCTCTTTAGACAGAGAATATTACTACACTTTCTTGTTAATGTAGAAATCTTTTACACTACACTGAAAGACACTGCTATGCAGATAATCTCACAATAAAGTCACCTTTTTTTTTTTTTTGGAAGGAGTTTTCCCAGGAGCAAGGGGAGGGGAAGCCACTGAGGATTTCCCCTCTCCCAAGCAGAAGCCAAGCCAACAAAACATGCACTTAATTTTCTTATGACTATGTGCAAGTCAGTGACTCTTACATGCTGTTTGCTCCTCTGAGTTTTCCATGTTTGGGAAGAACTGATCTTTCCAGGACAACCCAAAAAGTCATGGACAAGCAAGTGGGTAAGCAGACAAACCACTCCAGACACAGAAATCCACATTTTCACTGGCTCTTAAATAGAACAGAGTCTAAGATACCACTCATTTTCACCACAGAGTTGCATAATTTAATGAAGCCAAATATAAAATAAACCAAAAATTATACCACAGAGGGTACCATCTAATATGTGTAGGTATATTGCCTAGCAGAGGGGTGATCAGGTATCTAATACACCTAGATCTGCCTTCAACATCAATGTGTACCCACTCCACAGCTCTAATATTCAGGTCATATCAGAAGGCAACACAACTGGTACCATGTTAGACAAAACTAAGACTGCTATGACTTGTTTTGAAGGTATGATTCTGAAACTTGGTTAAGATTAAGGCTGCAAACAGCTCAATAAAGTATTCCATAAAGCATTCCACACAATGTTGTTCTTTTTAAAAAGGTATCAGGTTAATAGGTTTTAATATCTCTACCCATACAGAAAAACTTAAGCCAGCATTTTGCAAATCCACCTTTCCAATATATTTTATTTCAAGAAAACAGTAGGTGGCATCCCCTTTTAGGGATCAGAGAAATATATCCAATGACAAACAGGCTAGTACAGAAGCAGTGGACCAGAGGTATGTGTCATGGCCCCAATCTAGATAATCACACATCAGGATCAGGACAATTCCCTCTGAGTGGTAATGCTCTCAGTTCAGCCACAATGTGAGGGTGCATCACCTAACCAATGAGGTTCCTTCCAGTTTTGTAGACTAACAGGAAACAAACACTTTCAACCATCAATCTACTGAACTACTTAAACATTTCTACAGAAGTCCTAAAAATGTACAGGGAGAACAAGCATCTAACTTCTTTCTTTTGAAGTCAAAATATCCACTAATACTATCCTATTCCATTATTTTTCATATTAAGTTATACATAAAAATCTTAATGGTATCCATTCTTTAAAGCTGAAAGTAAATCTAAGGGTTGGATTCTGAGTTTGCCAAACAGATTTTTTTCTTTTTTTTTTTTTTAATTGAAGTATCAACTCTGGACAAATAGGAACACTGTGGTCTACACACTGTAAGTAGTCTCTGCAAAGGGCCTGGCAATGAGATCTTGTAAGTGATTCTCTCTACCCCTGTGTTGCCCCCAGAGGCAGCAAAGGCCTCAGGCATCAACTTTACTTCTGCTCAGTATTGCCTCCAGGCTGACCTGATGAATACGTGAATCACAAGTGCTTCACAGCAGGCTGGGCATTTCTACTGGTTTACAGATAAAGGCAGACGCTCTTGCTAAGTCTCCTTTCAAGTCACTGCCACGCAGACATCTTAGTTCTTTTAACGGGAGAAGCAATTGTCCAATGCACAAATGCCTTGGTCTTAAAACTATTACGGATCCCCCTAGCCTCTGCCCTTTCTGCAGTGTCGAAGGAGGTAAAACGAGCCTCTTTGAACAGCATCTTTGGAGAACCCAGTCATGAAAACTTGGACACAAGCTGCGTTTCAGGCCAAGAAGGAAGAAGAGTAAAGGGAGTAAAGGGAGCAAAGCAGTTTTTCCCCTCAAGTCATGCACACTAACACAAAGATGCTGAATTTAAACAGGGCTAAATATGGGTAGCTAGAGTCAGAATTTTACATGTAACATGAACAAGCAACATTTACAGATACTTTTTTTCCTAACTAAACAGAGATTTTTTTTATTTTGGTGAAGAGGTCATCATTTCACCTTGTGATAACTCAAATGTTTCAGATTTTCTTTAGCTAAGGACATCTAAGGTATACATCCCTGAAAATTTACACATAAGCTTTAGTCTCACTGGAAGGGCCACTATCTGGTATTTGTTTGTAACCTACAATTCTACTTTTATGTCCTAGGAAGGCAGGAAAGGAAAACCGCCAGTGTCATCACCCACATCTGTCTACTCCATTTTAACTTTTTTCCCCCGGACTACTTTTTTTTTTTTTTTTCCAACCAGTTTTTAGTTGCAGAAATACAGTGACTGTTTGCATTAATCACGTAGCAAGGTGAAAGAGGATTAAGAATTCATATACTGGCAGCATACCGTAAGTCACTGAAAGCCCCCTTAAGGGATCATTTTGATTTGGGAGACCTGGCTTGATTCTCCATAATAACATCCTTTTTGCCTGGCTATATAGTCACCAGAACTTCCAACTTATCACTCTGGACAGATGCATTTTTTACTCATCTAATCCAAGACATTAAATGCAAAGATACAGTGTACCTGCAATACTACTGGAACGCAAACCCACTCCCTTTCTCACCACCACCCAAAAGACAGCTTCAAAAAACCTGGAGCACAAAATTACTTTCCTCAATTTTCCCCCAAAGCAGAAAATGAGAAAGACTGCCTGTGGGCAAGAAATCTGCCAGAAGCACATAAGGACCTTTCTGCAGCAAAGCATCTATCCGTGTCTTTCATCTATTATTATTTGAGCCATGATTCATCATTTGTTAAACAGCAGTATTTAAGTTTCAAATAGTGTAATCCACTTTATTAAATCTTACAAATGCAGAACAGGTAGGGCATTCTAACCATAATTACTGCTGTCTTGTTTTTGTCTCAGTCATCTTCAAGTGGCTCTGCGTCGCTTTTTAAGTTCAAACCTTTACAGAGGCAAGTTTATCTTACGGCTCAAACATGATCCTAGTTAAAGGGCAGTCACTATCCAAGTCATCAGCTAGCAAACCCTGCTGTTTAATGAGGAAGAATGGGCTGGTTGGAACATGGATTGCCTTCAGGCACAAACACCTGTGAAACATGTTCAAAAGTCTGCAACCCCTGATAAATTTTATTTCATCTCCTCTCTCTCTCAACATTTCAGAGCCCAAACAATTGCTCAAATGAGTATCCTCGCTCTTCTGATAATGGAACAAGACAGTAGATGAGAAAAAGCAACTCTTAAGATCTCTGCTTCTAGAAATTCAAGAAACTGAATTTAGTAAACAAGAGGTGCAGGAGTTACAACACAAACAAAAAACCAGGAATCCCAAACATTAGAGACCTAGAGACTAGAGCCCTAGGAGTCCAGTAATTAATACATAACCAAAAGAGTTATTTCAGCATTTCATTTTAAGGATTTGTAAGAGAAACAAGACACTAGCAACCTAAAAGAGGGAGTATTAATAAGCAAGTTATACCATATTCTTTGAAAAAGTAAGGAGGAAACAAAGTGCAGTGCCCAGAATATATGCAATATCGCATTTCTGCAACTACAGCATACAATTTCTCAGTTAAACCAATTCAAATGCACATCTAAAATGTTATCAAGTGCATAAAAAAAAATTCAACATTTTCTATCCTTAATCATAAACTACCTCTAGGTCTAAAGAGAATACAGAGGACTAACCATCTGCTACATGGTGAAGTCCTAGTCTATTCTACTGACATTAGCAGAATGCTTAAGTTACACCTGGAAATGGAAAACAAATCATGTGCCTGATCAACAAGAAGTCAAACCACTTCTGTTTCTTTAAATCATAATTAAGACTACATACCTTTATGGTTTTAGTTTGAAGTCTCAATCCATTCAGAGTGTTGATAGCTTTTTCAGCATCCTTGGGGTCAACATAGTTCACAAAACCATAACCCAAGCTCTGTCCTGATTAAAAAAGAGGAAGAATAGTGATCATTAGTACTGCAGTGCTACATAACGGATAACTAACGGTGTTTAAAATCTATACAGACACACTGAGCAAAAGCTGCTTATGTTAAAGAACAGTATCTGTCCCAGATAACAAAGTTTCAGAGGCTCACAATACCTACTTGTTCTAGTAAGTTTAGTGTTTTTATCTAGCTTCCCCGGTTCCCATGGATTGCCCTAAGCTCAACGCAGAAATGCCTACAGTGAGTTTAATGAAAAACTTAAATCTATTACTCACTTTTGAACTTTCTAATTGAACAGACAGTAGAGTGGCAAAATTCTGGACCCATGCTTGAAAATGAGCGTGTTTCAAATATATTTCAGTATCAGAATTTGAGCCAAACTTGAAGCTGAACATTTCTACGGATGTTATTCACACACGAGATAGAACCTCTCAGTAACAAGGAGTTTAAAGGCTCATTTTGTTCCTATGTTCAAAACGACTAGCACAAGTAACTGGTTATGAGCTAAATATCATCCAAAGATTCAACATTTTCAGGTTCTTTTAGCATTGATAATTCAGATGATAGAAGGACATAAAGCATTTTTAATTAGCTCTTCATCACTGAACCACAGCCCATTTCTAACAGTGTATTCTGTCTAAGCACTTACTAAACACTTAGAGTTTAGCAGTAGTCATTCTTGACAACTTCAAAACCTAAGGTATTCCATCCTTAACCACCTGCCTTCAGCATACACGTTTAAAAATATTTTAGTGCATAAGAACGCAAATAGGTAGAAAAAATTAGCAGAGCAAAAGGATACCACTTAGTAAGAATACTATCCTTCATTAGCATGAACCTTTTCAGAAACACTCTCTCATACTCCTTGACCATTCTTTTTTTAGAAACAGAAATGATGAGGTCCAAAAATCAGTCAACAAGTCAAAGGAAAGCATCCAATATATCTAATTCACAAAATGCTAGTTTGAAAGATTAGCTTAGAGACACAAAAATATAAAAGGACGAACACTATTACATAAAACACAAATGACAAATTCATTTATTGCCAGCAAAGATATAAAAGAACCTATGCTGTATCTATAAAGCATGTATTGAATAGTATAGAAAGTAAAAAAATGATGGGAAGTTTGTAATTGATTAAATGAGACAAGAGATGGTTTAGTAACAAGCCTACCACTGCTGGCATTAATAGTTTTGTACAAATTAGTCCACCATAGCACCAAAAGCTGGAGGACGCCACCACCACCCTACCCACCTCAAGCTACCTCCATTCTTCCCTATCTCCTCCCCAAAACAGCACACACAAACACAAATAAATTTTCTAGATGAAGCCATGAATAGGTTCATATATCCAAAGTTATTAACAAAAAAACATATGAAACCCAACTGGACAAAGTCCTGAGCAACCTGCTCTAGACAACCCTGCTCTGAGCAGGAGGTTGGACTACATGATCTCCAGAAGTGCCTCTAACCTCAGTAATTCAGTGTTTCTGTAACAAACAATATGGAAATATGCAGAAGCATTTCTGTGTTCATTTACAGCTCTACCTGGATACAGCTAAGTTCATTATCCTAGAAGAGCCTTTTTCCTTATTAGTATGATTACAGTAGAGCAGTTTCTATACTTGTCACCTCCATTACTCCCACTGTCTGCAGAAGCTCTTTCCAGCAGTGTCTCCAAAAAAGAGCATCTTAAAGGAATGTCTCTTTTTTGTGCATGGCTTTTATTTTAGTCTTATCTCTCAATACAGAAATGCTGATTTTTGGTGTTATTATTAATCTTCTAGGAAGGAACCCATTTAAACCACAATCTTAAAAGACGTTAAAATCTCTAAGAGAAAGCTATTTCATGTAAGATGTTCCCAACAGACTACTCATTAATTCCAGAGTGAACAAAAAAAATGTGCAGAAATTATTTCTGCTACCCCTCTGTTCATGTGATCTATTTTTCACATTAAAAACACCCGGACCACTGCAGGCAAAGAACATACCCAGCTGTTACAGAGGATAAATTCATGACCAGTTCTTCTGCAGACATTCTATTAGTTAAGCTTGATGAATATTAGTAGATAACCTAAGCAGCTGCACAAACAAAATCCAGTAATTTATTCAGGACAAGCTTGAACTCATTTCTGCAGCTTTATTCTGCAATTTTGCAATTAAAAAAAGCTTTCACTGTGAGGTTCGTGAAACACTGAAGCTGGCGACCCAGAGGGGTTGTGAAGTCTCCATTCCTGGAGATACTCGAAGTCAGACTGGACACGGTCCCAGGCAACCTGCTCAGGGAGAACCTGCCTGAGGAGAGTCAACTCCCTCCTCTAGTCAATTCATGAGACTAGATTATCTCCAGAAGTCCCTTCCGCCCCCAATGATTATGTAAATTATTTATTTAATTCAGTTTTGTTTAATTTGGGCTATCATCTAAAATTCAAAGGTGTTCATATCTGACATTCCAAAGGCCTTATGTATTTTAAAAGGTTAAGAAAAACTAAAACTTCTTAAAGAGATCGAAATTTTGCCTGAAGATTAGCGGTTCAATCACACATTATCAATAATTCAGAATAAAAAATCACTTCTGTTACAGAAGCACATATGATGAATCTTGGCTCTCAACAACCAATACAAATAATTGGAAATTGAACCTTATTTCTGGAATCAGATGCTTGAGGGACCACTCCTAAGTTTTCCTGCTTGTGTTAAGGGAAGATGCTTGTTTTAGAGGTTTGCCAGTTCATATACAGATGGCCGAGTTTTAGAAAATCCAGGCCAGCATTTCACAAAATGCAGCAGAAGCAGCTATTTTGATCAGATATCTCAATTATTGCAAAGTATGTCTGACAGCTGGTGGTATTTCTCACTTGGTGGGAAAGTGCCAACTCAGTTACAAGAACTTAGAAGCTCAGTTCTTCCTAAGTGTCACTGATGTACAGGACTTCAGTCCAAATTTATGCTAGTACCACTGTGGCTGTACAAGCCAGACAGAAGTCCCGCCCGATTGTGGATTTCAGATGGAGGAAAAGCAGTATACCCACTGCCCACAAGCTTTACTCAAATAAAATTAGACACACCTGGTCAGCAGAATTCAAACAATTTCTCCTGTGCAGCTTTTTCGCCCTCCTGAATATCTAAACTTTTTGGTTTTAAGACAAACCAAGCAGAAGCTAGATGCACTTAAACCAAATCAGCCACCACTCAAAATATCTAAAAAGAGAAACTTCATTATTTAATAATTGTAATGACTAATTTGTGTTGCCTGAAGCCAAAGATTAAACTGAACACTGAGAAAACAGCTCTGCACTCTTCCATCTGTGCCTCTTCTACACCAAACTCCATTCACCAAGACAGAAATCTCCTGCAGAACACACACTTGTTTCCAAGTCTAGTAACACACTTGAAGATTTTGTGTCTGAGTCCACAACAGGGTGATGGAAGAAAGAAGGTAAATCTATCGTCATCCACAAGTTAAATAATCCTCAGACTTAAATGTGTATCAAAAAGCAGCTTAGTCTCCTACTGTTTTTAAGACAGGGTCAGCTCCATCTGGCTTCTTGCCTCAGTTTTGTTTTTCCAACTTGTGCTTAATGACACTACAGTCTGGAAAATCTCTGACACCTCTCCAAGTGAGCTGTCCTGGTGCTCTGTCTACTATTACATGTTGAGGTATTCTGAATATTCAGTTTAGCTTTTCCTAGGCCTTCAAGATTATGGCCTACTCAACCTCAACACACACAAGAGACTATCTGTGCACATCAGCTATTTATTCCATAACTCAGACCTATAAACAGTAACAAGTTTATCTTACCCCAAAGAAAGAAATGACTGTGAATTTCTTAGTTTTTGTGAGTTATTACTTATGCCAGTAAGAAGAAAATAATTTGCCACCTTCAAGGGAAATACCCTCCTCATTTGCAGAAGTGAGCAATACTTCAGAAGTTACATGCCCAAACTGTCAGTTGAGCTTCTTCTCAATAGTTCTTGTGGCTATTTCACAGCACTATTTAAAGCTGTTTCCGTATACTTTCTACTAGATTTTATGCTTAGGACACTGAGTATTAAACAATGGGTGTAGAATAAAACAACAGTTAGCTAAATGACTGGTAAAAGAAGAAATCACTTGAAGTAGGAAAAGTCAGAATGACAAAATGATCTGGAAGGAATGAGGAAATGAATGAGGAAAAGCAGTTTGACTTGAATTTTGCTTCAACAAAATCTGATGAAAAAACCCCAAACCCACATAGCAGCAGAAATGCACCTCACAAGCCTGTAACACAGCGAAGGACTTCGAGCAAAGGTTAGGATTTGGAAGTTCATATGTAATGGAAACTTGCCACAAAATCAAATTCAAGCGTAAGTGGCAAAAAAAAAAAAATCCTGTTAGTCAGGCATCTCTTTGAACTTAGGCATGCTATATACACCACTAAGTGGGTCACTGACAAATGTTCAGCCTCGAAGTATGCGGCCTACAAGAAAACATGAGCTGGAAAGCACTATGCTACTCACTTTAATAGGGGAAACTGTTCCATTTATGTTTCAAGTTTATGAGCTTCACAAGTATCACTTGACCACCACGTAGGATGATGATGCAAATTAAAGAGTGATTTATTAAATAATGCCAAGTTACTTTTTGGAATTACAGTCAATATACAGAAAGGATTTTGAGAGGAGAGGGGCAAAAAGTAATTTCAACCAATTTAATTCTAATCAGTCTTTGAAAGCACTACTCAAGACACTGAGTGGAAGTCCACATGTAACACTAGAAAAGTGTAGATGAAGTAATTTATCATGAAATAAGAAGCAAGTAAGTAACAGTGATTCAATATTTAGGAAAGAAAAGTAGACAGACTTCACAGGCACTGGTCAGAGAAAGACCAAAAAAGTTTCAAGTAGGAAGAGGGAAATAAACAAGTAGGAAGGTATAGCCATGGTCACAGTGCTCCTGAACTTACTACTGTGCCTTGAAAAATGTCACTCTTTTTGCTTTAAAAATGCACAGGC